AGAAGTCAATTGCATGTGCTATTATTATCCAAGCTATTACAAGAGGCAATAACCCTGATGCAAGGATGGGGAGAAGTTGAAGGGTCTGTGGGGAGCAGAAACCTCTGTGCCTCAAGAGGGAGGTTGGACCTTCGGCGAGACAACAAGGAGGGAGATGAGAAAGGTGCTAAGAGGGCCTGCAGGCAAGAAGTACAGCCCTGCTTACTCCATTTTCACCTTTAGACCCGATCTGCAGTCACACGAATGCCACAAAAGCTTGTCACAAACGTTTGTAAAGCTGTGCCTACCCTGCAGCTAGCACTGCCACAGCCAAGCTAGCCCATGTGGGCACTGCTGGCAGCTCAGCTGTGGCAGCACAAAGGTTAGGGGAAGGCTGTAAAAACCTGCCCATAAAGCTAGGTCAATGCACACAATTTTGTAGCAGTGAAATTACCAGCAACAAGGAGCTAACAAGTACAGTAGCAACTGGGCTGTATTTGCACACAGGGACTGTACTGTCATCACCTCCAGGGCACCACTGTTAGCCCAATCTAATCATAGGTGCAGACATTCTGAAACAACTCCATACAATATTAAAGCTCCTCAAATACAGGGACAGGCCAAACTGAAAACAAGTTTAAAATTGGCATTAAAAAAATACACTAATTTGCACGTGGACACACAAAAATATGACTGGCCCTTTGCTTATTACTGAAACCAGATGGGCACGAATCTCAAAAGAAGAGCATGCTTCACAGCCTTGCAGACAGCCTCTGCCACTTGCTATGATGACAGTTTTTATATTTTTTGGTATCAAGGCAATCCTACGAGCATGCACAACTCTTGTAAATATTGTGTGGTCAACAACCAACACAACAGAAGGTGTGTTTACACCCAAGATGTTCCTAAAATCCCTTATGCGGTTTTCCGCACCAAAATGTAAATAATTTAAGGAACACCTTGTTCAGTTGCTTTTAAAAAGCAAATGTACCATGTTTCCATTTCAGTTGGCACCCATGATCCTTTTCAGATGAGTTCCACAAGAAATAACACCCACCTCTCTTCAAAACTATTTTCTAAATTAAAAAAAATCACCACTTAAAAGAAGGTGTCCCTCACAAACAAGAAACCCAGCTCCCCTAAAACCACTGGTGATACAAAAAAACCCACCAAAACAATAACAGGTTCCAAATAAAAATATGCATATGAAAATATATTGCAAAATGTAATGAGATTTATGTCTTAATACGTGTGCTACCACTAAAACTCTTGAATCAAAACATTTTCTACCTCTCCCCATATAAGCAAGAATATACGTACTGCACAGCTTTCAGAAATTCCTAAGTGCTCATCACATGTTCCTGGCTTCTGCAGCTCAGACCCCTGTGTAGGTTAAGAATTAAACACTCATCACAGTTCAACCTAACAAACTTCATTTCTAGGGCAAAATGCTGATGATTTGCAGGTGCTCAGCAAGGCCTCCTTTCAGATCAGAAATAGTATTAGAAACTCATTGCTCTTCTCCCAAGGATGAAGTCCATGGGCTCTGCAGGTCTGTGGCAGTGTCAGCTGTGGACTTGCCCTCGAACTCCTGTACTCTTATTGTACTCTTTGATCTCAGAAGTAAATAAAGCCACCAACAATTCAAAAAAGTTGCTAGCAGCTGGAGTAGACCTAGGCTTGCTCACAGAGCAAATCAGAGAGGACACAGCTCAAAACACCTGGCTGTGCTGGGTAGGTGCTAATGGCACATTATCCTCCAGCTTGTCTGAAAGGTCATTAAAATGTCCCCCCTGAAAGCCAGGCTTTTGAGGTCAATGCAACTACTACAAAGGATGCATTTCAATGGGAAAAAGAATGTGTATTTTCAACTTTATCACCCTATACAGTATGAAAAAATGTCTGCCATGGAGACCCCACTTGGCTCAGCTAGGTCAGCTCCTGACATCGAAGCCCACCAGTTTAGTAAACAGAGGTGCAAAGGCAGCTCCCTTCTGGAGAAGGGCAGGCTTGGTTAGCAGTGCACCAGGTGAGAGAAGGAGAAAGGTCCTCTAAACCAGCCATTCTGTTGAGCACCACTAACTGTGGCACAAGAAACAATCGACCAGATGGTCCAAGACTGGTAGGTTTTTCACGTGGAAATTACTTCCTTCCCCAGCAGAAAAGCCAAGAAGGAAAAATCCTGCCAGAAGAACATTACACCGAAATCCTTGAAAGTTTCTTCAGTGTTTTGCTGTCTGCACAGGTCCTTCCAACAGAAAACCTGGGGTCTGAGGTGTCTGTCACATCATCTTACAAATGCAGCACTTGGAAAAGTAATACAAACTGAACCAATGCACAAGCAAATAAACTATTCATTGTTTAATAACCGGTCAGGAGACAGAATGTAGTTCGCATGTGTATTTCCAATTCCAAGTAGATAAAAATGACAGCAGAAATAAATTTGGTATTCTAATTCCTTAGCCCTGTAACAAAAATTTGTGTTTTGCCTTGCTCTTTTTAAAACCTGTCCCCTCTGATCACTACAGGGATTTGCTGTGTAGCCCTTACTTCTGTAAGCAACGTTTCTGCAAAGCACTCACTTGCTTCTTCTCATGGATACAATAGTTAATTTTGGACTCACCCTACTGCTGGGCCAGAGTCATCACTGGCATAGCTCCACTGTAATTCAGCCTTCTGATGTACTACAGACAATGTACAACATGATCTAATCCTCAATGATGGCTCCCCCCTCCCTCCTTTTTTCCTCCCAGCATACAAATTTGACTAAATAGTAAAATAACATATGTAGATTTTAAAACAACAACACAAAAAAATAACAAAAACACAAGCAAAAACCAAAAGCAACAAACCCCCAAACTAAAACCATACTAAGATGGCCTTGCAAATGCTAATTTCAAATGACAGGATAATCAGATTCACAGATATATTAGGACAAATAGCACAGTCCAGAGAAGACGCAGCTCTTAAAGCCACAAGGCCTCGTTATAGCTCCAGCTCTGCCACTGACTTCTAGACCAGCTGTTTCACATTTCCACACCATTCTCCAATCTCTGATAAACAGATATTAACCTCTCGGGATGCTTGCAGGGGCTCAAGCACAGCCTAACCTAACAACACCCATTTGGATCTCTGTTACATACATATTAAACAATAATAAAAGTATATATGAAGTGTCATCCTTAAAAACTAGTGCCAAGGCATAAGCAGGTACCATCATAATATGCTGATACTTCCCCCATACCAAGGTTTAAGGTCGGCAGGATCCAGGCTCTGTGTCATGAGTAAACATAAATGTTTTAATATTTGTACAGATTTTCTTTTACAGACCAAGGTTTTAGAGAAACAGACATTCACTTCTGTGCAGTAGGAACAGACAGTACAAGTTCTGGAGGTCGTAATATTTATGATTTCTGACATCTGCTTGGTTGTTACTTATTTTCAAGCTTTAAAGTTATTTGTCTAAATTGAAGCATCATTCTCCACCCATCTCTTCGCTTCCTTTGAATAATAAAATACCAAAACCTTCCTCCCTTATCTAAATCACCTTGTCACTAGCAAAAGAAATACCAAGAGGCTTCACATTCTGCTCCTTAACAGGTCAGCAGCAGCTAGACACAATACCCAGGTCACACCAGCAGGGCTGCTCAAGTAATTTTCTTCTTTTGAAATGGCAAGTATTTCAAGGGAAGGGGTTTAAATGGAGTATTATCTATGTGGAAAGCACACTGCTTACCAAGAATTTAAAAACGCAGGTTTGAAGGCATTTATATCAGGTGGTAGCTCTACAGGTTTTGGTTTCTGCTTCAACTAGGCAAAGCCACGGTAACTCTAACAAAGGCTGAGAGATCTATTTGCATTCCTGGTCAAAATCTTACCCACAGTCACTCAACACCAAAAAGATAAGGAGACTTTATGTTTCCTTTTAAAAAACCACGATAGTTGTTGGAAGAAAATGTTAGGAGTTCCTAACATCTACATTTCTAAGCTGCTTACTTCACTTTTTCATGCAACAGATGCTGCTTTGTATTAGCTACTGCATATTAAATCATTCTGACAACCAAGAAAGCATACATTTGTTTGCGGGAGAGAGCAGCATGAATACACACACAGAGAGATATCTTCTCACGCAGAAGCACACAATTATGCAGCATTCAAATATTTGGGATGAACTTTGGCCTTTGTTTGAAGGAAAAAAAAAAAAATAGTACTCTCAAACAACAATCAGTAACAGAATCTGCAGTCATCTGGCTGAGCTCCCCGAAACCAACAGATCTTCAGCAATAAAACACCACTTGTGGCCAGCTAGCTGAAAGTTACTTGGAAAAATTTTCTTGAGATACTCGAGTACGTGTCCTTTATGATTTATAAGGGGTTTATAGATCAATCTCGGAATGGAGGCTAAAAATAAAATATATGTTAATTCAATAAGAATGGGGGGAAAAAAAAAACAAGTCGGCTATATTCACTCTCACATGCTTTTCTGCACTCCAGACAATCCCCTTCAGCTACGCCATTTGCATTCCCGATTTAAAAAGTAATTTGAAAACCTATGCACAGCAGGGCTCTAAACCACCTCTTCAGAGCACTATCTGTCTAGATAATATGGAAGAAACCGAGCAACCCAAACAAAACCACCTTTCTGATACATGAATCACAACGAGATCTTACTGCAAAGTACTAAGGGAACACACAGAAACTTTTGCCAATGAGAGGACCCAGGATAACTGTAATCCAGCGCTCTTCCAACTTTTTTTATCTCGGCTGGAAGACGTGTTTTCTTCCCCACACTCCCCTCTGACTTTCTCCCACTTTTGTAACCAGACAGCAACCCAGTTCTGCAGGCAGTTACTTCTTTTCAAGCTGCACCCAGAGGCAGGACAGCGCCTGCAGGGCTAACCCCGCACCCAGGGGGGCTGGAGAGCAAAACAAGCCCCTCTCTACCCGGCTGTGCCGGAGCCCCTGGGGAGAAAAGCTGCTCTCCGGGCACCCCTGGCTGTGTGCGCTGCTCCCCTCCCTACCTGGGGATGGTGATGCACTTGGTGTTGATGTTCTGCGTGGTGATCGCCTTCTCCAGCTCGTCCAGCTGCCCCGTCTTCTTCAGCTTCTTCACCAGGCTCTTCACCGCCTTCTCGCACCATTTCTCCTCTTGCCCGTTCTGCTCCCCTTTCTTCCAGCCCAGCAGCCGCTTAACGATGGGAGGAGTGAAAGGCAGGATGGAGGAGCTGCTGCCCGGCCCCGGCAGGGCCTCCGACGCGGGTTCCGCGCTCCCCGCAGGCCCCGCCGAGGGCAGCACAAAGCCCGGCCCCGGCAGCCCGGCCCCTCCCTGCCCCTGGG